GGGCAAGAGGCTAAACCCATGGGGGGGATGGAAATGGGGGGGAGAACCCTTGGGGGGGGGTTCGGTCTTCTATCCTTCGGAGCTTCTTGACGAGGGGGGGCCGTCATCTTTGCCTTCATCTTCACATCAACTTGCTTCCCATTAGAGGCACTGGGGTGGGTCTCTTTCTTCTTGTATTCCTTCCTCACTGTGGGTATTAAAGTCTTTGCCTTTTGGCTTTGCTTGGTAACACGGGTCTGAAATCCTTCACTATCAATCAAAACTTTCTTGCCAGAAGAGGGTTGCTCATTTGTAGAAGCCATATTAGTATCAGATTTCGAGATGGCATTCAAACAAGAGGAATTAGAATGACCAAAAATATGACAATCAGTGCACATAGGGGGTTTCCATTCATATTCAACACGAAGAGCATACAATGTCATAGCAAGAGTGTCCGGATCGGGGATCCGKACTWWCACCTCATCAATCCAGTTCTCCCTAACAGGAACCTCAAGRAGGACACGGGCAAAAGCCGATTTACCGGCCGCATATTTGCACATATTAACCGTCCATGAGTCCATAGCAAGAGGTATACCTATTTTACTAGCAATGTGACTAAGACCCTCATCGTTCCAAGCATCATACGGAATATCATGTAAACGAACCCAAAGAGGAATTTTATCATGCATATTGGAATTTAAATTAAGACCCGGCCTCCATTTTTGAATAAAAATAGGCACATTTTTAAAATTCCAAGGGCCATTATCGATAACCTTTTGGAGACCATCAACAGAGCTAAATTTAAATAAGAAAATACCATGGCCATTTAAGAGCACATCCTCAATACCGTATTGAGACCATAATTTCGAAGCATAAAATCGAACAACCGGGAAAGGAAGACGCTTACCAACAAAATAGCCACATAAGGTTTTAGCATAAGTTTCACAACTCTTTTTAACAACCGAGATAGGGATGTCAATAGGGGTGTCAACTTTTTCACAAAGATTGGGAATAAAATGAAAATTTTCATTTGCATGTTTATTAGACCCACTAAGCACATGAGCAAAAGAATTGGGGAGAATGGAGGAGACTTTTCCATTCCAAGCATTTTTTGAGTTTAAATCATGTTTGACATCACCAAGAAAAATCCGAGAATTAACATTTGCAGGGGTGGGAGGGTTCCTTTCAATAAAACAATTTTCTTTTTCTAAAACACAACCAACAAAAGGAGCAGACATATTACTATTGCACACCTTAGAAGGGTTAGCATTATTAGAGGGAGAAAAAGGAGAGGGAAGGGAGGAAGGCACATGGGAATGAAGTCTCAAGGGAGAAACAGGAGGGTTCAGGGGCTTAGAATGACATAAAGAGGGAACCTTAGGGGGGAGAGAGGAATTAGAATACTTACCTGGGCCAGCTGGAGATGGGCCGAGAAGAGAAACATGGGCCGGCTGTCCAGAAAATGGAGAAATACTATTGTTTGAGTTGGACTCATTAATTCTTGGGCTGATAGAAGCACATGGACCAGGGCCGAGAATAGAAGGTAAGCATTGCTGGCCCAAAAAAGAAACAGTCCCATTAATTGGGTTTCCACCGTAACCTTCAACCAGGCCTTCACCATCCTCCATAACAAAATCATTTTGATCCAGATCAGAATTCAAAGTCGAATCAGCAGAAAACTTAGAGTGAGAATAAAAGTTTGGGCTACCACCAGGCCCAACCATAGGAGTATCATAACCAGATCCGAAAGCACCCATATCTTCCATTTCTTTAATTTGGGACCCACTAGTAAAACCCAGCAGATTAGGCGCCAAGTTTGAAAAAGAAATAGTGGTAGAGGAGTAGGATTTTTTACTCAAAGTAGCATGCGGCACCGTTCCATCAGCCCCATACCCATTCTGCAGACACGGAACCGCCATCCCTCTGACCGAACTTTCCTCTCCTTCCCCATGCATATTTTCCTCGGTAGAGCAGCTAACAGTACCATTTGCATTTAAAACTCCCTGCATAAGCACTGTATCAACAGTACCTGTACCGCCCAAACCAGCAGACGGCCCTGCACCCCCATTACCTTTCTGCACCCACACATCTTCATCAGTCACCGTAGAACCTTCCCCATCATGCTGCAGGTTATTTTTAAAAAACGCAATCAAATCTTCCTTGTTCTCGGTACATGCAACGGCTCCAAAATAGAACGTAGAGGGCGACTGTTGTTGACTATTCAGAAAAGTGACCGTTGGCTCGGTTTGCACTCCAGCCTCCGTAGCACCCAACAGCTCCGGCAGGTCGGAACATTTCCGGTCAAGAGGGGCAGCATCATTATCTTCAAGAGAAAACGCCACACCATTAGAAGGGATAGCTATAGGTCGACTAAAAAGAGTCGACGGGAGGCTACTCGAAGACACAGATCCGGCAATAGCAGCAGTTTCCGGCAACTGAGCATGCATGGACTTAGACGAGAGCATCGGATATCCAGAGGAAAGGGTCATGGGAGGAACTATAACTTGATTCTTGCAACTAGCAGCAACCAGACCATCACTAACCGGGTTAGAGGCACAGATCATGTTTTTTCCATTCCCATTAACATCACCACTCGGAATATAGCAAACCTTCACGATAGGTTTAGAGGTAATAGAAGGCAGCGCTAACTTTCCATTTTCTTCTTCTTCTCCATCTTTTCCATCACACGAACTAAGGCTCCACCCAACCTTGAAGTCCAACGCATCTTGGGTCTTGGGGGGAGGAGGAAGGTTTCTGTTAACCAACATCTCTTCTTCATTCAGAATGATCAGATTCGAACTAGGCTTATGACGATGAAGGCAAACCTTAGAATGCCTTTGAAGTTTACAATTGTCTTCAAAATTTTCCAAAGATCCTTGATGAGACCTAGGGAGAGGATTGGAATATTTCAAACGAAGATTAGGCATACGAGATTTCCTTGTTTTCCTATGCATGGATTCATCAACCATAGGTTTCATTACGGTTAAGGAAACAAAAGGACCAAGAAATGAACAAAAAACTCCAAGAACACGAGAGAGAATTCTAGAGAGAGAAAAACTTTAGAGAGAGAAAAAATTCAACCAAATGAGGAAGCTTGGGGTTTAGGGTTTAGGGTTCAGGGTTCAGGGTTCAGGGTTCAGGGTTCAGGGTTCAGGGTTCAGGGTTCAGGGTTCAGGGTTCAGGGTTCAGGGTTCAGGGTTCAGGGTTTTTTTTTGATAGAGAGGGGGGAGACCCCTCCAGATCAAGAAAAAAAAAGCTAAAAGCCAAACAATGAAGCGCGCGGGTAGGAGGTAAACCTCAACTACCAGCCAGGAGAAAACCAAGGCACCCCGAGGGGAAAGAGAAGAAAGGAGGACAAGAAAAAGAGAGGGGAGAAAAAGAGAGAAAAGAAAGACAAAAAGAGGGGAAGAGACGAAAAGAGAGAAGAAGAGGGGGAGAAAAAGAAAGAAAGAGCAACCGACCACAAGGGAAGGGCCCAGCCAAGGCAAGACCGGGAAACAACGGGGAACACCACAAGTGCAAGAGAAGGGGCCTAAAAAAGGCACACCCTAGACCGCAACAAGGAAACCGAGAGAGCAACGGAGCTCACAAGACCAGAAAACACAGCAGCACACAAAGACAGAGAGCTAAGGGAGATTCCAGGCAAGCCGAGCCCGGGCAACATTAGTAGAGGGCTTGAGGGTCAGGCTAAGGAGCCTGGACCGGACATCGTCGGTAATCGTCTTAACCACCATAATATACGATCTTCTTTTATTTTTGAAGATGCGATTATTCCTTTCCTGTCACAGGTGGTAGACAGTTCCAGCAAGCACTAATTTTCGAATAATAGACCAGACGGCCTTTCCTTTGGTAGCATGCTGGAAAACACCAATAATATCAGCCCAATTATCTGGGACACCAGAAAGGTTAAGCTTGGCTTTTAAGCCATTCCAAACCTGATTAGGAAACGGGCATTCAAAGAAAAGATGAGAATGCGAATCAGGCCCGTTTTGACAGAAAGCACAAGACAGGTTGGAGTGGCCCTCCCARAACCGAAGCTTGTCATGCGTCTTGAGACGCTGCTTGAGGGCAACCCACAGAATAAACGCATGTCTAGGAATATTCTGGGAAAACCAGACCAAGTGATGCCAGGGGACATCCGGCTCATTAGGACAGAGAGAGAGCCAGACCTCATGAACAGAGAACGGCGTGAGCCGACCATCCCTGGTTCTCCAGAGGAGTTTATCAGGGGTATTAGAGGAAAGAACAGGAACAGGAGAATTGCGGATTAAAGGGTTGGGACTGTCCCTCAGGAGAGGGAAGTTCCAAAAACCCTGGGAGACGATATCCTTCACAGGAGCAGAAAGAGGGAGATTAGAATTAATGATACTGCGGGAAGATAAATGCCGGTAGAGGGGACCCACCGGGTGCCAGTTGTCGTACCAGGCGGACGTGGAAGCGCCATTACCAATCTGGGAGACAATACAGTCTTTAATCTTTTCCCTCATGCCAAGGATCTTTCTCCAGCCCCAACCAACATCACTGCGGATAGGGACATCCCAGAAGTTTCGCTCTTTAAGCCTGTAGGAATGGATCCATTTAACCCATAAAGAATCCTTGAAGGTAAGGATTCTCCAAGTATGAGAGGCCATAAGGGCACAGTTCCAGGTGGACAGGCTCTTAATTCCAAGACCGCCCTGAGTTTTCGGGAGGCAGACGGTCTTCCAAGAGACCTTAGCTTTCCCTCTTTTGAGCTCACCGTGGCACCACAAGAATCCCCGCATAAGCTGCTCAATCTCCTTAGATATGGAAATAGGAAGCATAAAGATCGAAGCCCAGTAAATTTGCATGGAGGACAAGACAGAGAGAATGAGCTGAAGTCTACCGGCGAAAGAGAGGGACTTGTTTTTCCAATCAWGGAGTTTGGACTTCACTTTGTCCACAAGACCCTTGCAATCCTGATGAAAGAGGCGAGTCGTGATGAGGGGGACACCCAGRTAACGAACCGGAAGAGAGCCCTCCGGGAACCGGATGATCGACTGAATAGCACTCTTAGTGATCGGACCTATATTGCAATAGAAAGCCTCGCTCTTGGCCGGATTGGGAAGAAGGCCAGACACACCAGAGAACTCGTCAATGGAATCCTTTACGACACGGACAGAGTCACTATCACCATGGCAGAATATAAGGAGATCATCAGCAAAACACAGGTGGGTGATCTTCAACTCCTCACAATTCCGGTGGTAGGAAAAAATGCCCGTCTCACT